AACAAGAGAACAAGCGCGTTATTTTATAGTCAACTATGTCCCCTCCCCTAGCGATGTTCTTTTTTTTGTTTCTTTTTTTGTTGCAAACCTAGACTAGAGCAGGGTAGCCAATGAGTGGGAGGGGTTTATCGGCCCATAGTAGGTCGGAAGGGCGTTGAAAAAATAAGGAGGCGGGGTTGGGAGTGGCGCTTGCTGAGGGGGTTGGGGCGAAGAAGACGATCGGGAGATGGGGGGTGAAAGGCGAAGAGGGGGGGTGGAGGGCAGTGAAGTTCCCAACGGGAATACTTCAGTGGAGAGCCTCAAAGTGTACTTTGCAGGTACATAGTAAGGGAGAAGAGAGGACGACCGGAGGAGGGAGATTGCAAAAATTCACCACGAAAGACGAACTAAAAAGATCAGACAATCAAAATAAATAAAATATCAGTAGAATTACGTGCAGCCATTACGGAAGAGGCGGGGCTTAAGGCGGAGAGAAGGGGGAGGGGTGAAAAGGGGAGGGGGGGAGAAGGAGGAAGGGGGTGCGGGGCAAAGGAGGAGCAGTTGGCAATGGCAGTGCAAGAGGAGAGGAGGATCTGCCTGACGTCGGACCACGTGAGGCGAATTGTCACTATGGCTTGTCTCACCCGGATTCTCCCTCGCGGGTTTTCTCTCTCTTTCTTATGTCTATATTATTTTTTTTTCTAGTCTGTCTTTCCATTTTTCTCTCTCACTACACACATACACCTCTTTCTCATCATACGTCATCGACTATTTCTGAATCGTAATCTTGCTTTCCACATTTCCCAGATAAAAACAAGAAGCAACAACAATAACAACAAGCATTGGTAGTAAATCGTTTAAATGATGAGAGTCTTTCTGAGAAAACTGAGACACGGGTGAATGTATTAACTTGTGAAAGACGGTAATTAGAGCTGTAGCTTCGTTGCATTAATGCCATTTCTTCTGCTACGATATACGCACGATGAAACATATAAGTGCACAAACACATGTATGTCGAGATCTATATTGATTCGACATTTAAAAGATGCATTATTTGTTATTGTTAACATGTACGCATCCCACTGAAATGTTTCTTAACGTATTTTATTTGTGAAAAGGCATATCAATATAGTATAGATCAATGTTATAACTGAGAAAGTATATTTTGACGTTTGTCAGATTAAATATTAACAACTCAAAGGGGGGTAATCAGCAATTTTGCCTCAGACGAGTCCTTTTCGGGGTCACAACAGTGCGATGTTAGCCAAGATGTAACAAATTTCATAGCTAGGGTTTTGGAATTTTTTTGGGTTATTTTTTTTTTTTTTTTTGGGGGGGGGGTGAATACTGCAACTCGAGTGTGAGAAAGAAAAATAATGAAGGTTAGAAGGGAAGGGTCGATTACTTAATGCCCAAGACAGATACCAGGGGTAAGGTTGTGTGTCGATCCTGTCTCATTTTTCATTATTGATTTATAAATAGTAGGTCAAAGGAGGGTGCAAATTTAAAGTTAATCTTAGACTTGAATTAAATTAGCAGAGAATATTCTTTGCTTATTCTTATAAAGTTCACTGATAAGTTTTACACTGTTATATGCAACTTGTTTGTTATTTGTTTATAGAATTTAAAATTTTGGTTTCTATGACCGTCGTGTCTTTGGGACTCACTCAATAGAGGAATGAATTCACTCCACCCCGCGAGCCATATATAGGCCGTCAAGTCATGCAACGCATATTAAAATTAGACAAGGCTAAAGTAGGCTTTCTCGGGGTTCTCTTAAAATCTACAACCTTATCATTTGTATGAGACTTGATATCAATATATATTTCCTTCTGAATATGAAAATTCATGATACAACACCGGTGTCATTCTTACACTGGTTATTATTGGCAGGATTAAATATCGTCTCTTGCATGTATATACGCACACTCTATTCACAAATCAAAGCCTCTGTTTATCAAGGCTTTCGTGATCACAAGTAGGCTATTGGTGACCCCAGCTAACTCACTCATCTGAAGGATAAAACTGGCTGCAAGATTTTCTTGCATTGAACGATGATTGCACATTCCAGTACTTGGCGGAAACAACGCAATGAGTTTAGAACTCGAGAAATGTCATAAGACATGGCCATTCTACTACCGGTCATCAGTCGCCAAACTCGCTTCCAGAGGAATGCCACACAAGACGTCCCTTTACAGAACGACTGTATAGAACCAGAAAGTTGTATAGCCTACACCCAGTGGCTGTAAACACCCAGCCAGTGTCCTTGCCAGCATCTCCATCGAGACGACCTTTATCATATGTGTCGTGCGATTTCCACTAAAGCACCACACATAGCACTGTCTCGATCACCCACAAGGTCAGGCTCTTACAAATGTTTCAGATGTGGTCAGAACAGTCACATGGCCTGGGAATGCCCCTTTCCCTGGCGCCAGGGAGACAGAGACCCGAGTCTCACTGGCAGATTCAGAAGGAGCCAGCCATTCAGGCTCTATCCAGATGAGAGAGGCTCTGATGAGTATTCTGGAGTTAAGAGTGCACGAGATGGAAGAGCGACCTCTCGTGACAATCAATGTTAACGGCAAGTCAGCTCTATGTTTCATAGACACTGGGTGGCAAACCATGCTTATTAAACCCCGTGCTCCAAAGGAGACACATTGCCACGACAGTTATCCTTGAAGACCCTACAAAGGATTGCTGGGAAACCTTTTACATCTATTTAGGTTTCGAACTTGGGGAAGGTCTGATCAATAATTATGGAGCCACCATAGCAGATCTGGACTTTCCAAGAGACATTCTTTCTGAAAACTATGTTTTATGTTGTGGTCAACTGCCTCTTTAACAGGCACTGTAATTTAGAAAAACTGCCGCTTCCCAGTTGTATATACCAATGCGAAATCTCTTAAGATAGCTTGCCTTAAAAGTAAAACATGCATTAATCAAGACAATGCTCACAGAAACTACCCAGGACAATAAGGAGGCAGCAGTACATCTTCAGGATGATTATGATGATTAAGCCTGGCAGATGGGATGTGTTATTAACCCCTACTGCCTCAGACTCTTTGACTTTGCCCTATTCGGTGATTACTCTTGCCAAAACCCTTCATCACGACCAATAAAGCTAAACTACAGAACGAGACGCAATCTACAGTAGCAATCCTGAGCCTGTAAAACCAGGGAAAGAAATAACAGTTATGCTTGGAACGATGACTTGAAAGCTGAAAGCGGAAAGATGAGTACTCCTTGTAAAAGCGACACAGAACTTTAAAGTCAAATGATTAGGGGTGCCCGCACCGGCGATGCTGTATCTAAAAGAGAAATGGTTAGGCGGACCCACAGCTGCGATGCAGATCCTGCAGTGACAATATACAGATTCCTTTGGAACTTTAAAAGCAGGAGCATTTAATAGTGCTCACGGCGACGTGAGATACTTGTAGCTTGGAAATTAAGTTAGTATTTCTACTCATGATTATCCTGATCAGATAGACATTGCCTTGCCAATGTGGGAGCCTCAGATTTTGATGACCAGTCTTGTTGGGAGGGAATTAGTGCCATGATTACAAGATGTCCTGTCGAAGATTCCTTTACAGAAGATATCGAGTATGACTGCGGGATGGTGGGATTATTCAGTTTACCAGATCTTTGAAGATATAAGTAAGAAAAGTGACGTAAACTTAGAAAACAGTTTTACCTCCCTCGATAGCAATTTGACTGAATAAAAGCCATTGCACAGTGGATAGATGTAACTATTCCTGAGTATATTGATGCGGCGGATCGTGAAACTAATTGTAATTCACCTATTCGTAAAGGTGATGCTGACTCATAGCAGAGACGCTCTGTGACAGGAGCACACTCTTTACAAAGATTGGTTACGATAGCTTGAGCCTATTTCGGAACCAGATAGTGCTAGTGAATAGAGTTCCGTTAAGTGAACAACCAGTGAATGAGATGCATCATATTTTGAGAAGTGAGGTTTACTCTTTAAACTAACCCAATAAAACAAGTTAGACAGAAAGTTTAGTTTACCACGCAATTTACTGAAGCAGCTAGTGATATTGATTGCAGTGTTGTATTTGTATTATATCATATTTGTATTGTATTTGTGTTGATATAACTGATCATGTTGAAATTATATTAATATGTGTTGACTTATTGACCTTGATATGTGGTCATATATTTTATAACTTGAACAGCATGTCCAGCTCCACATGCACCTTAGCTTTAAAAGGCGTGTAATCGCGCTCAGGCCTTCCCTTTCTTCTGTTTCCAGGTCGTCTCTGCTGGCGCTCCGACCCCATGGCACTGGAGGGTTGTGAGGTCTCCACCCCCCCCCCACCCCCATTCCTCCGTCCTGAACCATGCCCCATCCCTGCTCCCTCCCTTATCCTCCTACTTACTCTTGTTTCCCTTAGTCTCCCCAGTACCTCCTTTTTGCTTAAGTCTCCCCCCTTTTCCACTCCTGTATTTCTCTCTCTCTCTCTCTCTCTCTCTACCCTTCTCTGAAACCTGCACTCTATCAACTTCATTTTCTATTTCGTTTCCTCTACCTACTTTCCCTCCCTTTCTTTCACTCCTTCCCTGTTCGTTTCTTTCCCTCATCCTCAACTTTCCTCGTTTTCCTCTTTCCCTTTCTATTCTTTCCCTCTATGCTAATTTTCTCGTTTTCTACTTTGTTTATTCCTTCGTTATGCTATCGTACTCCCCTCTGCCTCTCGCTCCTTCCTCGTTCATTCATTTCTTTCATGTTTCTTCTTTAACTTTGTGATATATTTTCTTTTTGGTCATTTTTCTCACAAACTAATTTCTTTTCGTTTTCTAATATTTCCTCTTTCCATGAAAAATCTCTTTCATTTGCATCTCTTGGCTTACGTTTATTTTTCTCCTGTTCGTTCTTTTTTTTTAAAGTTTGTTATACCTACCTTCTATCCTCCAACCTAATATCCTACCTGTCTCCTCGCCACTCTCAATTTCTTGGTTAATGGTTAATGGTTAAAATAAATGTGCTAGACATCTAAGGTCAT